GGGATCTTCGTGTCCTGGATGTGCATCCCACAAATCTCCATCAACTGCAAGATGCTATCCTATCAATATGGGCCAACATTTCTAAAGAATGCTTTCAGCACCTTGTTGAATCAATGCCACGTAGAATTAAGGCAGTTCTGAAGGCGAAAGGGGGTCAAACACAGTATTAGTATGGTGTTCCTAATAATCCTTTAGGTGAGTGTACACTGCAATTGTAAATGTCTGATCTGTGAATCTGCATATTACATATTCATTTTCTATGTTTACTGTGTACTTCTTTGTCTAGTAAATTATATGTGTAACTTTTTTGTACCTCGACTTTTTATCTTGGCCAGGTCGTCGTGTTGCAAAAGTTGGCAACCTATTAGATTAGGATGAAATTCAAAACATTTTGGGATGCGATTATGATTTTTTAAAGAAATGTTTTCAGCAAGGAAGCACAACTGTTTTCAACATTTATAATAATTTCAGAGATTTTTCTTGAGCACAAATCATTATAGCAGAATGATTTCTGAAGGATCATGTGACTTGAGTAATGATGCTGAAAATACAGCTTTGAACACAGGAATAAATTGTATTTTAATATATATTGACATAGAAAACAGTTATTCTAAATCATAATAATCTATCACAATATTTTCATTGTATTTTTGATCAAATAAATGTAGCTTTGGTGAGCCGAAGAGACTCCATTCAAAATCAAAATAAAAAAGTCAGTTCAGCTTTTAAAAGCATTAGAAAACAGAAATATCTCCAAAACCCGAATTGAGAAAGCAGTCTTTTTCATGACTAGTTAAGTGTCATATCTTAGTATTTCAAAATGCATCCAAAAGCCTTTATAAAAGCATGTGTGTGTGTGTCTGTGTGTTGTCGCCCTCCCTCACAGGAGCCACGGTGTCTCTGTCTTATCACCATGCAACACACACACACCAGCGCACTGGCCAAACAACAAATTCCACCGCCTCTGTCACTCCGTCCACATCACACACGGCTGTCGCAGCTCCTATTCAACACTAAAGAGAGAGAGAGAGACAGAAAGAAAAAGAAGAGACAGAAAGAGGTAGAGCTCTGGGCAGACAGGCAGTCTGGCCCTTCACGCTTCCTTTTGTGTGCGTGTTTGTGGTGGAATAAGGGCCGTCTGTACCAGGACCGAGGGTACGGAACATCCCTCAAGCGCAGTTGCTCTCTTGGGACTCTGATTCTGATAAGTGTTGCCTACTGCATGCTTGAGTGTGTGTGTGTGTGTGTGTACGAGTCTGGATGTCTAGACGAGAATTTTTCATTCCCAGTCCTGGGGACGCCCAGGACACAAACACAACCCCACACACACACACAGAGAGAGAGAGAACGTATTAACAGAAATGCACCAATAAACTTCTAGAGAAAACCTAGTAGAAATTAGACATGCAAGACTTTATGCAATATTAAAATAACTAGTCAGTGTATTGCATAATAAACTTGCTCAATATGTATATATGTACATATACACATACATGTGTAAATAACACATACATACACATAGTGACTGTGGGGGCCATTTTAGTACAGTGAACTCATTGTCATGTTCAAGAAACCAATTTGAAATGATTCGAGCTTTATGACGTGGTGCATTATCCTGCTGGAAGTAGCCATCAGAGGATGGGTACATGGTGGCCATAAAGTGATGGACATGGTCAGAAACAATGCTCAGGTAGGCCGTGGCATTTAAACAATGCCCAATTGGCACTAAGGGGCCTAAAGTGTGCCAAGAAAACATCCCCCACACCATTACACCACCACCACCAGCCTGCACAGTGGTAACAAGGCATGATGGATCCATGTTCTCATTCTGTTTATGCCAAATTCACAAATGCTTTGCTGCATACCTCGGTTGTAACGAGTGGTTATTTCAGTCAAAGTTGCTCTTCTATCAGCTTGAATCAGTCGGGCCATTCTCCTCTGACCTCTAGCATCAACAAAGCAGTTTCGCCCACAGGACTGCCGCAAACTGGATGTTTTCCCTTTTAAAAATAAATTATATATATATATATATATATATAGTATATAGTAATAATGAATTGTTACGTATCTTTACATATATATTGATTGATGCATTTGCGCGGAGTACGTGCATGACCGTGATCTAACGTAACCCCGGTCATGTGACTATGCTTGGCAAATCGCGTCTGGGCGCGTGAGTGTTTAATCAGGCCGCGGCGTCTTCCTCATTCAGAAGTGTGGGGAAGTCGATCGACGGCTGTGGACAGGTGTATGTTTTACAAACTTTTCACTCTTGTGATCGATTTATGCTTTCAAGTTAAGCTTATTGTAACTCTTTAGAACAACTTACTGGCTGTAGGGAATTCGTCGCCGCTATCACGTTATGTTTAAAGAGGAATTGGTGAGTATTCTGAATGAATGAATGAGAATGAGCTATATGCTAAACAGTGGCACTGAACGTTGATATTAGCATTGCCTGCTTTAGACAAATGTTTGGATTCATTGTATGTCGTTATGAAGTATTGGTTGAAGTAATTTTGTTTACTTTATATTAAGTATGTTTATATGCACCATGGCATTGGTTTGTTTGGAGTTTGTGTCGATAATGCAACTTCAATATTGTTTTTTGATTGTGTTGATTTAATGTTTATTATGTGTATGTTGTACATTTATCATTTATTTTGTAAGGATCTAGAGTTGGGTAATGAGAATATTTTAGTGTGGATTGAGCTAAAAAAAAAATGTAATGCAAACCTTGTTCCAATTCAGCTCTTATTTACTAGTCCTGTTGTGTACTATAGGGCAGGTTCTTTCTCTCTGGTTGGAGATAAATGATGGTGAGCTAAATTACTACGGTTGGGAGCCGATCATCTGAGCCACATCCACTGAACAGCCGCCCTTGTTGGTCTGGTAGGAAGGTTGTCTGCAGCCTGTCCCCCCCACACTTCTCCATATACTAGTACTTCAGTCCCTCAAGCATATCTTTTCATCTGATGAACAATAACCTATGGATTAATCAATACAAACTTTCATAAAAACCCTTGTGGGTTGTTGCGCGTGGTCTTGACGAGTTTTTTTTCCATTTTGATTTTTTTTTGTTTTGTATACCATTTGTTGTAATCTTCATCATTTTATCTGACTTGAAAAATAACCACAAAAAGTGCACTTAACTATAACTGATTCAACTGCAGTCTGTCAATATTTTGAGTTTTTTCCTATTTTTCTTTTCTTATCTTTGGTTGCAATTATGTTTGTTTAATTATTTTCTTTCCAATATATGGTACCAGTACCAAAAATAACTTTCTGTTTCTGTGTTGTTACTGACCACCAGCTCCTGTAGTCGAACTTTAGGTAAACTAGTTAACCTCACTAAATCGTTAATAGACAACAAATGTGATCTGTTTTACAAAGCAGCTTATTATAAGTTCACACAACGGCCAACCCAACTTGTTGCTAAAGTCTCAAACAAAACTTTTAAATAACACTCAAAGATTCAGTCACAAGAATGTCTTCCCCATAATGGTGCTCACACTGAGAACGATTTGCAATGACAAGACAATATACATCAGCCCATGCATGAAGGTCTGCGGGTGTTTCTCAGAAGCAGCGGACGCCGAACAATTTCTATCGGCCCTCAAACTCATTCGTCTGGCCATTAACATGATGGATGTTGTCTGTGATATCTGAAACACTGAACATGTGATAGAACACGCAATTAAACGGCGGATGAACGGCACATACCGGCCACTTTTTCCCTGATTTAGGGGGATCAGAGGGGATTGTGGGTAAGGATAAGAAGGTAACGAGACACGAGCTGGAGATTTATTCCAGTCTTTTAGCCCGTATATCAGAGACAGATATGTGTGATTTCCTGTTCTTCTGGAGATGTCATTACCCGCATGTGTTATAAAGTGTAATGGATGGCCCCGGAGGAGTCGTTTGTGATAATGAAGATGAGGCCTGACCCGCTCTCAAACATGATTGCTCGTGTGTTCAGACACCCGCCGCTCACTCTCGCTCTTGCTGTGCATCAGATAAAGCACAGCTTAATTTACCTGCTACATGTAGGTACAAAATGATCAGTCGCCAAATGCTAAACAACAAAAAACTTTAGTGTAAAGTTTGCCAAAGAAATTCAGCTAGAGGCCTCGCTGATACCAAAACTGCTACTGATGTCTCTGTGAAATTGACATTTTTCTCAATTTTAGCCATTAATTACAGGCATTCAGAATTACAGTATAATTTGAAAGCTATCATTTATAAACTTATACCGTAACTTAGCGTCTAACTCAAACACTGGCCAGTGAAATCGAACAATTTATTAGCCTATTTTTATCACTTGTAAATGGTTTAAAAGCATTTGCTTGAATAAGAGTGTGATCATGTATTGTAACGCTAGCCAAAGGATGACGGGGGGGAAAAAACAGATACTGCGTTAATTGCACTGATATTTTTTCTGAAACTTTTTAAAAGTGTATTTAAAAATATTTGTATACTTTTTCTTTCAATAAATATATATACACGCATATTTGTTTTGCATTAGTTAGTAATTAGTAAAATATACTTTTACTAAATATACTTAAAATTTATTTGAAAACATATATTTAAATAAAAAATATATACATAAAGAGTTTTAAACAGGACTAATAATACAAACAAAAAATTAATAGAAAACTGCAAAACACATTGGTTGCTTAGAAATATAATTTATCTGGATGATTATTTATTTATGAAATTAATAACTTTTACCATGGTATCTCCATGATGTATGTGTATGTCCACAGATGGCAGTTGTGTGATAGAGTCAGCTGGTGAATTATTCATTCTTAATCGAGTGCATCTTAAAATAATTTGTGTTCCAGGAGGAAGTGAAATGTCACTATTCTATAATTAAATAGAGACAAATATTTTGTTTTGAAAATAAACCAAATATTAGAGTGAAGAGGTCAGGTGGGTGAAGAGGTGGAAAAGGACCGACAGGGCCGCTGACGCCAGAAAGAGAGTTCATTTGATGTGCTTACCTTCAGACGGTCTTTAGGGAGGGCCACAGCACCTTTCTTGATGACCTCTTGAACTCTCTCCACTGATAGGTCACTTCCTGCCTGCTCCAGTCGCTGGCTGAAGAATCCAATCACCTGAGACACAAACACACACACAGTCAGTAGCTGTATAGCCAGTCACTGTGGCTCTTTTTACATACGTCATAAAAGACTTGTGCCTCAGAGCGGCAGATGTACTCCTAGCTAATGCCAAGACATCAGTGCAATGCTGTAAATGATGATGTTTGCACAGTGTGTGTGATACAATATCCCAGAATGCAATGTAATGATGAATGAATCAACAGCAATAATCAAACATCTTCATAACTCATCGAAGTGTCAAAAGGGCAGAAGAGATGTGTCTAAACCAGAAAAAAGCAAACAGAACCATTATAATCAAAACTAATTGAAGACATTTGTACGAAAAAAAATTTAATATGCAAAATGACTGTACTTATTTGTAACTGGATTTCTGAATTTTAGAAAAAAATGTGGCATTTTGTTATTCTTATTCAGCACACAGTTTACACTGTGCAGTATGCAGTGCACTAGTATTCCATTAATTCAGTTTTGGATGAAAGCAATTTTATTCTGCGTGGTGTGTTTAAGGCTGGAGGGGGTCATGCAGCATTAATGCACCAGTGTGAGTGTGTTTAAAAGAGGGAATTTACTTCCTGACTTCTGTAGATTACCCCTTGGGATTCGACTGCACAATATAAAGCAGTGGGTTTAGTGTAAACTTCACCTATATGAATGTTTGCACTGAGGATTTTGAACCATGTGCTTCAGTATCATCTTTAGAAAGTGATACGGACAGCCACATATCTAAAAAAAAAAAAAAGCAAAAGCAAAAGCTCTGTTCCAAAATCTAATGAGATGCCAATCTTAGGCAATACATTTAGGCAAATAGGCAAAATACTTCAGCAGTACAGTGATGGCGACATATACCATAGTAGGTCTTTTGTTGTTAAAAGCTACATAGTTGAGCAAACTCAATGTTTTTGCATATTTTAAAATAATCTTCACAACATGTCAATGTAAAACTCTACTGGAGACAATAGCAATCGTGTGAATTGCTGCTCATGGAGAGTGTTTCAAATCAGTCACAGCTAGGATGGCGTCTAAGAAGGTCTGTGTATACACTAGATCGCTCACTATGGTTTGGATCAGAGCTGGAACACACATTCAGTGTCTCACCGTGTCAAGGTTCTGCATGATATCCTGGAAAGAGGGATGCGAGCGAAACTGTTCGAACAGTTCTCGCTTATAGAGCAGCGCGTACAGCAGGTTCGGGTTGTGATGGAGGGAATTACTCAGACAGGAGTTTATAATCTCCAACATCATTCTGATCACCTCCTCGATGACATTCAGATCCTGAGCCTGATGGGGAAAAGAGAAAATGCAGCAGATAATGACAGAAGTAATGAAAAAGTTTCCTCTGCATTTTATAAGGCAACTGATGAGTGATTTCTGAAGGATCATAATGTGACACTGAAGACTGGACTGAAAATTCAGCTTTGATCACAGGATAAATTACATTTTAAAATATATTCACATATGTTAAACTGTAATAAAATATGTCACATTAATACTGTTTTTTACTGTATTTTTGTTCAAATAAATGCAGCCTTGGTGAGTAGATGAGAATTTTCAAAACCATTAATAAATCTCGTCAACCATAAACTTTTGAACGGCTTGATCAGAAAAAGTGATCCAAACGACACTAATTGACTCCTGACATTTGCATCCCTGGTTCAAACGCATGGACTAACATGCTGTCTAGGAAGGTGCCAGCAGTGCAGAGAACACCACACCGTGTGTGTGTGTGTGTGGGTTAAATGGGTTAACATTTCCCTGTGCTCTGCTGCAGTCTGGGCGGTCACACTTTTTCTGGGTCACACACACACACTTAAAGCGGGGGCAACAGAAATGCATCTTTTCTCTCTTTCTGCAGCCGCATCATATATATTTCATGCATCAAATTGAAGCATGTTTGAAGCCAAGGCTGTATGATGTATAGATTGTCTGTGTGTGTGCTTTGGGGTGAACCCGGGGTGTTAGGACGGGTATAATTGCTTTACAAAACTATAAAGCATTATATTTTGAATAAAGAATTCTAAGAGCTTTAGTACTAAGGGACTGCTTCAAAGAGTGCAATTCATTACAAAATGCACAACATAACATGCCAATATACTGTTTAAACATTTGAGCACAAGCTATTATAAATGTATTTTAACTGTAGTAGCTGTTGTTTATGAGAATGTCTTCACATAAACCATTGCCAAAAGATTCTTCCCTTCAGTAACACAATGCATTTGACATTCAAACTCGTTAAAACATTTTTTTTTTTCAAAGCCATGTCTCTGAAGAGCCTTCGGTCAATGACCTTCGACCTTCTCATTTCCTTTTCTCCCACTGTCCTTCCCTATACAGAGTCTCTGCCTGCAGCCATCTCGGCCTCTTCTTTATGTTATTCATTTATTGCTAATTCTCAAGACTGATGTCAGTTTCCGAGCCACAAATCTCTCTGGACAAAAGCAAGTCAATGGAACAGAATGTGCAATCCGGTTTCCATAGGAACGAACACACACACACACACACACACACACTTTGTGTGGAAGCTAAGAAAAGTGATTTTAAGAGATGACAGCTCGAGAAAGTTCAGAGTGTGTGTAGTGAAACACAAAAAAGCAAGGAATGTACAAAAAAAACACAGTTTTATGGAATTAGCTTCAATGACTGTACGACAAACCACCACACCATCGTTTAAAACACTGCAAACATAATTCAACTCCTGAAAGAGAGAGAAGAGAGAGAGAGAAAAGGAAATAGAAATGAAAGAAAAAACAAAGAAATACTAATATAAGATTAAGAAAAGGAAAGGAAAATAAAATGAAAGGTAAATAAAATCAAACAGAAAAAAAGATAGAAAAAATTAAAATAAGAAAACATAAAAAAGAAAAGGATCAGAGGAAACGTAAAATTAGTAATAAAAATACAAATAAATAAATAAAATTAAAGTAAAACAATAAAAAACAAAACAAAGAAAAGAAACTCATCCTGAAGTGTTTTTGCTCCAGATATGAACGTTTCTTCAGTTCTTCTTCAGCTGCTTCTTAAGGAAGTGAGACAGACTCGCATCATGACATATGGGTGGTATGATTTCATTCATACTACCCATATTATTACAATATAGAACATATTTTGAAACGGTTGTGAAGTAGCAGCTAGTCAGACAAAACGTGATTTCGGATTTCACTCAAAGAGCCAGAGACGTACAGTACTGTGCAGAAGTCTGAGGCACACTAGTATTTTCGCCCTCAAAGAAATGGTTTTAAGCCATTATTTACGTATTTTGTTGTAGTGTCTCAGTAGGAAATATCAGTTTACATTTCCAGACATTAATTGTGCCATTAATTGTAATAATCCAGTGAAATCCACGGAGGTCGGATCTCACCATCATCGAGTGCCTCTGAAATTATATGAAGAAACAGAAAAAACAGAGACTAAGACCAGAAGAACTGCGGCATACAATACTAGTGTGCCTAAGACTTCTGCACAGTACTGTACGTGTGTAAAGCGCTCAGTCCTGCTGACCTCAGATTGAATCAGTCTCACAGTGGCACAAGTGCCAGAAGAACAAGGGCTTTACTGGAAAGACAGCAGGTTTTGGAAAGGCCTTTGTGATTACTGCAGTTTGTGTTCTGCTTGAGACTCACGAACACACGTGCACACCAGTAAGCCGCCTTCAGCGTCCCCATACAGCACCATCTGTTAATACCTGAACCGGAACACCATACTTAATGTCAGGACACGTATAAAGGCGAAATCTCACACCAACGCATGATGCAAGACCCTGAGAATGTGTCATTTATGCGCCTCTAGTGGCAGCAAACAGAACTGCAGAAATAATGACTGATTTCAAACAGGTTTTCGTGAAAAAGTACAGAGCCCTTACCAATATTTCTGACCCTAAAATTAGGGATGTGTTGAAGTTCAAACAGAATGGCCCAAATACATAAACTGAAAAAACAACAGACGTTTTGAGAGATTTCAAGCTGAACCCTATCCGGATAGTCGAATATTTAATGCTTTCATTATTTCTTATATCCCTTTCAATTCTATCTGCTTCTATTTTGGACAATGTTTGAATTTTTGTATTCATAGCACTTCTCAAAATATTGCCTCCTGAAGATGAATAGCATGCTGTATTCCTCATTTGTTACTAAATGAATAAATGTAAATGTAAAGTGATAGTTTCTTCTAAACACAAATTATGATATTTTTAAATCAAACCTGGGAGGTTCCTGATCCTCCACTTAAAATCCATGCAACTTGCAAAAGATCCAAACAGATCATTACGACATTGCGAAACTAATCTCTATGAATTAACCCGTGTAATATAAGTCTTGTGAAGTGATATGATCGCTTTAAAGGGATACTCCACTTTTTTTTGGAAATATGCTCATTTTACCACTCCCCCAGAGTTAAACAGTTGGCTTTTACCGTTTTCGAATGTATTCAGCCGATTTTCTGATATTTAGAAGAATATCAGTAACCAGACAGTTTCTGGTCTCATTGACTTCCATACAGGAAAAAAATATACTATGGAAGTCAATGAGACTGTCTGGTAAGTGATATTCTTCTAAATATCCGAAAATCGGGTGAATGGATTTGAAAACGGTAAAACTCAACTGTTTAACTCTGGGGGAGTGGTAAAATGAGCCTATTTCCAAAAAAAGTGGAGTATCCCTTTATGATGAACACATTTAATTTAGGCTTGTATTCACATATAGCTTGTCGTTCTGTATATGTATGTGTGTTGATCAATGTTTAGAGGCAAATTAAATCTGTTCATCACACAAAGCGATTGTATCTCTTCACAATACTTGGATTAAACCGCTTGATTCACATGAATTTGTTTTATGACGAAGGTTTGGTTACATGGACTTCCAATGGAGGGACAGAAATCTCTCTGGAATAATTTAAAATCGCATAATTAGTATTACAGGATTGGAACGACATTTCATTCTTTGGTTATTAACCATTTTTGGCTAATCCATTCAGGTTTATTTCTACAGTGCGGATGTCGAGTTTGCAGAAGTTGTGCTGATGACATAAGCCCAGCCGAAGCCCTCCGCTCTGGGTCGTGTTCCTCACACCTTCCCCTTCCCACCAGACAGAGGAAATTCCTGCCCTCCGTTCCCATGACGACCCCCTACATGTCGGAAAAGATCTGCGGACGCAGCAGTCGGGAATATTAACGGGGTGGGAGACTGTCGCCGCTGTTATTAACCAAATTTAAGTAGATACTTATGAAACAAACGTGCAGGACGGGATCAGACCAAACCTGGAAATTCTCGTCTAGACCTGCGGTTCTCAACAAACAGGTCAAAGGTCCGTTCAAACTGGTGAACAAAACTGGTCAGGTACTTGACGTTCGAAGTGAAATGTGGGCCGTGAAGCAAAAGCAGTTGAGAAGGACGTCTGGGAAACCAGATCAAACTACAACCTAGAAAGACGCTGGAGGTGTCTAGACAGAAACAGGGAGTGATAATTAGACGAGAAGAACGTAGGAGTGAATTAGGGATGAGAGCGATATGCTCTACAGTACAGACTAATGAGATTACACACACACACACACACAGAGAGAGAGACAGGGAAAATCAGGTCAGATGTTAATGTGTGAACAAATCCTACACAGACACAATCAAAGCACTTCTGTAGTGCTTTGATTCAAGTATCTTCTAATCATCTAGTCTAATACACACAGATGTTATGCTGCAGTGTGATATTACTATTTTTCATTAATATCAGTCTGATGTACATTCATCAGAAGAGTCACTGTGAGTGGAATGCACATAAACACTACTGTTTGGGGGCAGATTTTTGTAAAGAAATTCATACTTTATTCAGCAAGGTGGCCTTAAATTAATTAAAAGTGACATTCATTTATGTTTTTAATATTCAACCAGGAACCCTGACAAATATTCATAATTATCAGAAATGTTTTTTTAGCAGGAATTCATCATATTTGAGTGATTTCTGAAGGATCATGTGACACTGAAGACTGGAGTAATGCTGAAAATTCAGCTTTGATCACAGGAATAAATTACATTTTAAAACATATTCACATAGAAAACAGCTATTTTAGATTGTAATACTATTTCACAATATTACTGTATTTATGATCAGCCTTGGTGAGCAGAAGAAAGTTAAAAATATGTCTGCATGAGAAATCTGAACAGCGTGGGTTATGAACCAAAGATTAACACTTATGGTAAAGGGTTTTATTACATCACTAACTGTCAGGACATATGACTCATAAACCTAGAGCTAGACAAAATAAGATGCTACTCTGAAAATAAAGTGTGTATGTGCATTGAGAAATAGATAGAAA